AAGAGTAATCTGTAGTTAAACCTCCACAAATACAAAGTCTCTTGATTAGCTATTAGTTTAAACTAGTTAAAATTATTAAATTGTTGAATGTGTGCTGCTGCCTGATTTTTAATCTCAATGAGATAAAGGTTATATAAAAGAAAAAGAAAAACATACATACACACACACAGCTCCATTCACCTCACATGTGACTGCCTCTTGCTTTAACCTGAGCCAAGTTTGTGTTTGAAGGAGCTGGTGTGTGTGTGTGTGTGTGTGTGTGTNTAGAGGATAAGCGGTAGAAAATGGATGGATGGAATATTCAGTGTATATATAATTGTGTTGTTTTTCGGTAGTAATTATGAGCATCATTTTAAGCAACCAGTTTAGTCTAACAGATACTATTTATCAGACCAGTATGAATGTTGATTTCATTGTGAAGGCTATGGGGGGGGCATATTTCCAGCGAGGGTTAAACTGTATTCCTGTGTGTGTGTGTGTGTGTGTGTGTGTGTGGTGTGTGTGTGTGTGTGTGTGTGTGATTGTGATTGTGTTTGTGTGTGTGTGTGTGTGGGGAGCAGTTTACTTTGGCTGCTGAGAGTTGAACAGGAGGAAAAGGCTCCGACTGAAAGACACAAACCAGCAGCAGAGAGAGAGAGAGAGAGTGAAGGTGGAGAGCGAGCGTGGAGGCTTTATGGTGCGCGTTGTGGGAGTTTCTATTGCCCTAATGTGTTTTCTGAGGGGTCCAACCACTGCAGCTGGAACAGCTGTCACAGGCAGGTATTTACAAGCTAATTGTAGTCGATTGAGCAGGCGCACTAACCGGCTGAGGTCTAGACAGATGTGAATTAAATGGCAGATGTTGAACCTTCTTTGTGTTGGGTCGAGTCAAATTAGCAGCACAGGGACTGGATGTGTGCAGAGGGTGTGGAGAGTGGAAAACATCAGGTTCACACGTGAGGTGGAGGAAACATGGCTTTATGTACACACACTGAAAATTGACTTTTCAATTAAACCTGGATCCAACGATATTTGGTGAAGTCAAAGATTCCAATTTTTTCTGTGAGGGAGAAGAAGTACATGCAATTTAAATAATTTTCAACAAAGTAATTGAACTTTTTTGTGGGAAAAAAAAATTGTGTTTAGAGTGTTTTTATGTCTTTATGAGTTTAAAGATGACAGGAGGGGATCTTTAAACAGCAGTGAAAACACAGCACTGACAACTGAACCAAGAAACTGGAAGTAAATTTATGTCTCAAACATTGTGACTTCTAATATGTGCTGTAATTAAAGGTCACATATTTAAAAATGTCCTGTGTTTTATTTAGTGTTGATCCATAAGAAAATGTATTTGTTGTTTTGAAAACCAAAAGCCATCTCAGTGATTGAATAAAAATATAGCAGATTTCAGGTAAACACTCAGGGAAACCAAATCCTGCAAGGTTGGATGGTGGGACCAGGTGGGGTGTGGCTGAGAGCAGTGACTGCTCTGTTGTGACGTCACAAAGTTACAGAAATCCTGATGGCTTGTTTTAAGGCTCAGTTTCTGCATATATTTAAACTTAATTAGTTACAGCTCAGTCGATATTAAACTCTTCAGGTTGATACTGATGTCAGTAGTTAAGAGTTTGTTGATGTCAAATCAAACACATAACATTATTGATGAGGATCCCATACATTTTGTTATGAAAAAAATAAAAAATGTACTGATTTATCACTGCTCTCTGGTGGACAAACTGTAATGACAACTCCATTTCTACACTGCAGAAATTGCTGTTTATTGACAATAGGTGCATAGGATAACACAATTATTTCCAAATAATCTCCTAAAAAGTTTCCTTGAAAGAACCTCAACATTTGGTTCTAATTCCAAGCAAAACACAGAGTGATCCGTATATTTCTAAACGCTTAGCCACAGCACAACCCTGAGTACTTTATTCAGAGGATGTGTTGACAAACAAACACAGTTCAGCATAAGTGAGAATAATATTTCCAATAATAAATGAATGTGTCAGAAATATTCCTTATGTTTCAAATGGAGAAATTTCTTTCATCTGGAGTCAATAATAAACTCAACACAACTAATTGAACTAATTAAAATCACAGTCTGAGTTACTTAGTTTCTTTGTTTATCCTCTAATTAGAACCAAACTATGTGGTTCCCCCCAGGAAACACTCAAGAACTCATCAGCAAATAACAGCTATGTAAAATAAAGTGTTACCAAAACTTTTCAGCTTTGAAGAACCCAATCATCTTAGACACTGTTTATCACTTGTCCTCACTTCATTAACAATGTTTTAGTCCTCAGTGCTCATTAATAAAGTGAGAGCAAGTGATCTTCTTCATGCTAAACAAAAATCCAATTTTGTACATAGAAAATCTGCATCTTTAGCATTTGAAGATAATTAATAATTACAGAACAGTAGGAAAATAAACAACTCAGCTGACAAGACTGGGCCCAGCACTGGGGACTCTCAGCAGCTGGTTTCTACATTCAAACCTGCTACTGCTGCTTAAAGTGAATTTGAGCTGAGTCGACCTCTCAAGTATTAACAAGCTTTGGGTTAAAACCTCTCCTGCGAGACGCGGCTGGTTAGATCATTGAGGGTTTGACTCATATTTGTGGACACGCTCAGCTACTGTGTGTGTGTTGGAGGAAATGTCAGGGGAAAACTTTCTAACTCTTAGTGTGGTGGAATTTATTTTTTTTTACTCTGATCTAATAATAATGTGGTTCTTTGTGAAGTTGTTTCACACTTAGGCTGGAAACTTTTCATCTAGCATATAATTCAACATATGTTATATATCATTGACTATAAAATATTACAGAAATTAAAAAAATATCAGCTTTTACAATTAACAGTAAGAGGTGTAATGGTACAGGCATGTTGGGATGTTAATGGCTTTCCTCCAAACTTTTTGTACTGTCATGGTTTGCCTTAAGGAATCTTTGTGTTTGGACTTTTGTATTATGTTTGGACTTTGTCATTAGTAATTAGTTTAGAAATTAATTTGGTCATTGTCGTTTCCTGTTTTATTTTAAAGTCTCTTTCCTAGTGTGTCTTTTGTTTTTTTTAATCCTGTTTTTGCCCTGTTTCCCTCCAGTTTGATTGTCTGCCCCACCTGTGTTCTATTGCCCTGGCCTCCCCTCTGTATTTAAGTCTCTGCCTTCCACTTGTCTCTGTCAGTCTGTCTGTTATCATCATGTTTTCCTGTGATCTCTAGTTTCTCCGGTTGACCTTCGTATTTCCCCTTCATTGTTCTCCATCGTTTCCTAAGTTCTGGTTTCTGTTCCTGCCTGTTTTTTTTTACTGGATTCTTGGTTTTGTAAGTTTCTGTTTTTGTTATTAAACACTATTTTCCACCTGCCCCTTTTGGTTGTTTGCATTTTGGGTCCTACCATCTGTTATTCCTGACGAGCTGATTAAAGGATGTTTCCTTTCTATTATTGTTTTACTTAGCAACAGTTTCAATATACTATTAAAGTTTTGTGTACTTTTGAGTCTTCACTTTATCTCCCTGAAACTGATGAATATCTGCTCAAAGTTGGTTCCACTGACACCAACAACAGATAAAAAAAAAAACGTTCAAAGAAAGGTCCCATATTGTATAAAGGTAGATGTCCATGTCTTCTTAGATTATAAAGTAGGTCTAGGTTCTATATTAATATTATGAAAGTATTTCTTGACTTCTGTAATTTTGTGATGTCCCACCAAAGCAGTCACAATCCTCAGCCATGCTCACCTGGACCCACCATCCAACTTTGGAGGATTTGGTTTCTCTGAGTGGCCACTTGAAACCTGCTATATTTTTATTCAGTTTCTCAGAAAACAGTCAGTCAATAGAGCTCAGAGCCTCTCTTCTGAAATGATGGAAATGAAACTGTCTGGCCTAGGGACCGACCAGCTGTTCTTTCATTATGGGCAATGAATCATGGGGTAGGTTGGGGCTTGAAGGATCCACCCGTTGGAGTCTTTGTCGTTGTCGTTGTCCAGGAAAAGAACGACTCATTTCTCATACATTCGAAGGGGCCTTCGAAATAGAACAGCCTAGTTGTGCCGCTGTGACAAAATCGGTCTTCAAATACAGAAGGTTTCGACCCCTGAACTGGGACACAGCTTAACTGAGCAAACTCCATCATTGTCATTCTCACTAGTTTTGTTTTAGGGAACAGACATGAAAAGACCAAACAACATGTTTTTTTAAACTTCCGTTTTCATCAGCATGATCAAGATAACCAGTTGACATTGAGACATTGTAGTTTAGATCCACTGTGGCCTTTGATGGAAAGTTTTAACATGAACTTGAACCACTGCACGATAGCAGTGCATAGATGTGATTAACTGTATCCAGCAGTCATGGATGAACGTAGCATAATGTAATTTACAGTAACTCACTCTTGGACAACACATGGACAGATTTACAGATGTTTGTTTTGATGGATATGCGGTCGATCTGAAGACAACAAACAAATTTAATTTTAAACTTCATTTTGGCCCTTTAGTGTGTAAGGAAATGACAAACAGGGCCACTCAGACCTAACCAAAAAAAACCATAACACATGGAGTTTATTTCATGAAATACTCCTTATAAACATTGCCAAATTGCCCAAAATAACCAATTAAAGTATATCCAGCAGTTTAACTGGTCTTTGGTTTGACCCATGTGCCACCAACCTGTGAGGTGGTACTGTTAGAAAACTGGCTGCAGGACAACAAATTACTCTTTCAGACCAAGTTACTGTTTCCATTGTGGTTTACTGGCTGACACGCTACACTGACAGACCCATAAACAGCTAATGGCCCCTTCTCTGCTAATTGTGACCAAAGTGGAGTCTGTCGAACTGACGTGAAATTTAAGGTGGGTTTCAGTGTGTTATTCTGTCTGTGTTTCAGGGGGAAAATCCCTGGAGTCCAAAGGAGAGGAGGGAGGAAATTCAACCAGCGAGTCTCATCACCTGACAGCAGCTGACGGAGAGCCCTGAGACCTGCAGAGCGACTGCTACAAATCCTTACATCCTTTTAAACCCTCTGAAGATCTTGGAAGCAATCAGCATCAGCTCGTCCAAACAAACCTCAAGTCTCCTGAGCAGACCCATAGTCCGGCATCTTTCCCTTCCCTCGTTTTCCTAAACAACCGGAGGGACTGTTTTCCTGGTCCGACACCAGCAATGCTTCCCTTCATTCCTTCCCTCCTCCTCATCCTCCTCCTGGCTGGTCCGGCCCTCCTGACCCCATCAACCTCCCGGGAGCTGCAGGTCAGGGGTCACAGGACACCGAGGGACACCAAGCAGGACTCCATCAAGGTGAGGGAGTGATGAAACTGCTGGACTAAGTGACACACCCTCCAACTGATGAGGTTGTACCCCCCAAAACAAACAACAAAAAACACTTAGAGCTGCTTACAAACACATTATAGTCTATTATAAACCATTTAACTGTTTATAGAGTGAAAAAAATGGGTGGTGAATACCAGCAATAAACTGGATATAGACACCAGATATTTAAGCTAGAGTGGTCTGAGGACAAACATGTAAGGCCTCCCCTTTACCCAGGGATCAAAACTAACAAATACCAGAATGGACTTCAGGATCAGAACTTGGGTCATCCAACTTTTAACTGAGCCTACAATAAGAAATATCTGTTTTAAAGAGCAACACAACACCCTTTAAAACTCTGTCTTGATGACCTCTAGTGGTTTAACTTGTCATCCTGCTGCAGTGATGTAGAGATGCAGTCTAGGGTGTGTCAGTACATGATGACATCGCTGTTGGGCGTGGTTACAGGTGCAACGAAACACACTTTCTGATCACATCAACAAAACACCCAGCAGTGATGTTGACTGTAGTTTTATTTACATTCCTACATTTGACTTTTTTTGTCCAATTGAAGTGACGTCTTTAAAATACGAAGTCTTGTAAATACACCACAAACTGACCTGTTGAAATAAGGTGTATTCTGTGTTGAAGTGTGGACTTTAATAGATGCAGACACAGATACAGAGCAAACATGTGACAATGACCTACTGTGGCTTTTGACCTTTTCTATTGTCATTGTTACAGGTGGTGATCTCCGAGGGCTGCGCCAACCAAGGTGATTCATCTGATGTCAGCAAGGGAGGTAAAGACATTGTGTTTATGTTATTAATCCTCTTCATTTTAACATTGTTACACCTTCATTAGTACTGATACAAGTAGGACTGACTTCTCAAACAGAGAGGAACAGTACAAGTAGAGTTCAGTTTCCAGTTTTCTCCTGATCACCTCTGTATTTCTCAGGTAAAGAAATCGACCTGGTCCCTGGCTCTCCTCTGGTCCTGACCCACAAGATCAGACTGGTCCCATCAAATTCAGGATCAGGGTCCGGGTCTTGCGGCTGCGAGGCGGACTTCGCTGCCCTTCGGGAGCGTTTGGAGAGGCTGGAGCGGGAGGTGTCGACCCTCAGGGAGAAATGTGGAGGAGCCGAGGGAGGATGCTGCACCTCCAAGGAGAGCAAAGGTAAGAACCAGCTTCTTGTTGTTACTGTTTAAAGAAAACCGTCTGTCCACAGTAAATGTCCATGAGCTCTGCAGCAAACTGCAGACAGACACAGTCGGAGAGCAGCTGGTGAACACAGGGGAGCATTTAGCAGCTGAAGAGCCAGGGGCTGTTTGCAAAATACACCTTAAGTTAAGATTTTCCTTAAAGTCTGAGTTAAGGTGTCTGTAAAATAAAAACAGTTGCACAAAACACCCTTGAGTCTTCTCCTTGAGGTTTCCTTAAAATGAAGTACTTGAGGTTCTCTCCTCATCTTAGCCTTTTACTTAAAGAATCACTCAAAGGCAGTTAAACCGTAGCACAAAAGACCTTAGTGACCAAAGGGAAAAACTAAAAGTAGGCCGAGTTTATGGAGTTTGTGTCAGTCAGTTTATGATTTGCCTGACTGTCTAGAGTTGGATTGCTTGACTTTCTGCAGTTTCATGAATGCTGTACGGTTTTACACCATATGATCTTCCCAGTCAGGTCCAGTCAAGGTGGTTCATATCCACAGATCAGCGGTGGGCCGGGTCACAGTTTAAATTCTCTTATGTCTGCTGAAAACCGCGGTGAAGCTCCCGTCAAATCAACATGAGGATGAGATAGTGGCTTCATTAATGTTACCAGCTTCCTGAAAGTGATTACAGGTATCACATGTGCTAATGGCAGCACATCAATTGTCTCCATGGAAACAGTAGCGTTTTACCCCTGTAATATCTCTTTCGCTGCTGTAAATTACTTAACTTTTTCCCTTAACTAAGGGAACCTTTTAAGAGTGTCTGTGCAACACTTTTAAGTAACTCCCTCAGCTACGGAGAAATTAAACCTTAGGTGTCTTACTTAAGTAGAAAACTTAAGGTGTTTCATGCAAGCTGGTGGAGACCAAACTCAGGACTAAAAGAGAGGGAATACTGGACTCAAACACCACAAGATCGTCATGTTTCACTGTAACAGCTGGATGTGGAAATGAGCAGCTTCTTGCAAACATGTTCACTGGAGAAATGTTAATGCTGTGTTGACATCTTGCTTTCACAGCCCCCAAGTGGACACAATCTTTAAATTCATAAAGAGTTTCTGATCCTCACAAACTGTATATGACGTCATGTTTTCCCAACTGAGCCGAGCAAGAAAACCACACACAAAAACACAAATACATAAATCTCTGATGTGAAATAACCACGCTGGATGTTGCTGACACACATGAATCCAAACAGTTAATTAGTAAATTAGTAATTAGTAAATAATCAAGTCTTCTAATGGTTTCCAGTAGAATATGAACGAGCAAAAAATACACTTAAAACCTTTCTCAACATGTTGTAAATACAAATAACCTCAAGTCTGTGATATTGATCGTTGCTCTCGCTCACAGAAAATCAGTTTAAAAGGATCTTATTAGATCGTGGACACACAAGTAAATATTCATCTGTGAATAACTTATAGAGCACTTGAGTGACTGCTAACATGCAAACAAGACACTACTGACTCTAAGTTAATGCAACTAATAAGACAACAACACATTACCCCTGTTAGAAAATGTGAGAAGGATGGTGATTTAAATCATAGTTAATTACTCTTAACCATGACAACAAATACAAACACAGATCTCCTCACTCTGTGTGAACAGGCTGATGTGTGTCCTTTGGGAGGGGTAACATGAAGATCAGAAGAATCCAAGTCTAGACTCATATTGTTGTGAATTTTTCGCCAATTTACAGTCATTACAACATCTGGGCTTTCATCTTGTTATTCTGCTGCACACCATGTGTTTATAGCAACATGTGGAGGATAAACACTGGACTGAATCTTCTGTGTCAGGAAAAAGTCCCATTTCTGCTTTTAAGGTTTTCTGTTAGAGCTGAATGGATGTTGCTCCAAAAAAAAAAAAAAAAGACACTCTCCATCTGTCAGTCATACCAAATGATAACAGGCAGACACACAGGGGTGTGTGTGTGTATAACACATAAAGGTTGCAGGTTCAAATCCCAACATTTTACACTCAATCTGTAGCAGGTTATTACACAGGGAACAGGGGAATGAAAATGCCTATTATCTGTTCTCACGACAAAGGAATAATAAACCCTGTAAGATGTGCAGATTCTCAGATTAGCAATTGTATTTAAAAATAATTAGAAACATGAAAATAGAAACTAGAAACATCCCTCTTGTCTCATCTTTGGTCTCTCTGCTCTGACTCCTCATCAGAGTCACATGCACGTCTTCGTTTCAGCCAATCGCATGAGTTCATATTACTTTGCTCTGCCCGTGGCTGCTTCTCCTGTTCCACTGACTCATCCTGCATGACACACACACAGACATCCTTCCGCAGAGCCAACAGATGACACATTTATCAAGCAGCAGAGCAACTATTTAACAACTATCTAAAAGTTAAAATCTGCTCTTAAATGAGTCATTTCCTCTCCTAAAGTAAACACACACACAACACCAGAAAGAAATTAATGACACAAGGAAAACAACAAAAGAGAAGAATGAATCCCATCACACCCCAGTGTGGACCAGCAGAGCCACCAAAGTATTACCATCCATTCAAAAGAGCAATGTGCTTGATTGAGAAAGTGCATGCACAAGAACATGCATAAATACATATAATATAAAGCAGCTGTGCACAGTCACAGTATTTATATTCTTCAGCAAAGCAAAGCAACAATACGACAAAAGTGACAAGAAAAGTCCAACATTTATTCAATTAAGAAAAATAAAATCATCACTCATAAAGCAGAATCTATGGTGGCCCTAAGAGCTAAGTGTGTAAAGCTATCAACATGAAGCTAAGCTATAAATAATATAAATTCACAAAAAAAACAACATATAATTTCCTTCGTCTTTCAAACCTGTCGGTGTCATTGCTCTAAGACTGCAAGGGAAGCTCAGCTTCCCCTAAAATGTTAACAAAATAAATGGTCAAATATGTACTGTTGTGTGTACATTTCATTGACTAAATATGCGCTAGAACACGTTCATCTTTTGTTCAGAATCAGCTACTTATCACAGGTAACCGACACGACTTCCTACTCATTCATCCCCGCAGCGCCACAGTGCTTTACACAGTGTAGACGCCGAGCGTCTACTGACTTCAATGGGGAAGCATAGAGTGGGTTGTTCCACTGCAGCGAAACTAGATGGTCATTGGATAAATGCTGGGCTTTGTTCCGCCCATCGGACGCTCAGCGTCTCTGGGGGTCTATGGGGCAGTGGGCTGGCCCGGACACTCGGCCTCTGCATGATGATTGGATGATCTGTCTGAGGCTGAGTCCCTTTTTGATTGACAGCGAAATGAGCGAATCAGCGATCTTGAAGTATAAGCATCCACCGGAGCATTTTTCAAGTTTTTCATTCCGTTGTTCAGAGTTGATCTGGAGACGTTACTGATCCTCAGCAACTTTGTCTTTGTTAAAAATGACTAGCGTTGTGTTTGGCGACTCTCTTCTGTCACTCTGCGAATTTACATAAAAATAAACGGACACATTTTATGATGTAGGCCGAAAATGAGCTTCCCCTCCTTATAAGACCAGCAGCCGCCACTGGTCCATACTGTGTGTGTCATAATATTACCCGAATACTGTATTTAAATTGATTATTTGAGAAGATAAACTTGGTTATATTAGCAGCATTTTAACCCTGCAGCTGCATCTGTTGGAGCTGTTTTACTGGGTAATGGATGAGAATGTGTGTGTTTTGTTTTAAATAGTAGAATTTCTCTGCAGAATAAATAGTGAGTAGAGTTGCCAGATAAGTTCAGTGGAGAAAGTATCAAGTTGCAGAAGTGAGGTTAGTGACTCTGAGAGAAACTGAGTGACTGACAGTGAAATGATCTCTGACAGATTTCTGTTAGAACCAGTTCATCACACACAGAGCTGACCTCAGGACTGATCGCATTATAACCTGGCAGGGCTGAAACCATGAGCTAACGCTGTGTGTGTGTGTGTGTGTGTGTGTGTGTGTGTGTGTGTGTGTGTGTGTGTGTGTGTGTGTGTGTGTGTCTATCCTCAGCCCTCTGCCCAGTGTGATCTCAGACTCCATCTCCTCCCACACTAGTGCAGATTTCCCTCCACCCTCCTCCTAACGTGACACATAAACACACACACACACACACACACACACAAACAATTAGTCATAACAAGGCTGCGTGACAGTCCAATTGACGAGGATTAGACCTCCACCCCCCAAAAACTAAAGCAGGATGATAAAGGAAAAGTTTTCAAGTCATGTTTCAATAATCCTCCATCATCATCATCATTATCATCATCATCACCATCAGTTACCTTAACAACTACTGGCCATGACTCTACTGTGGATATTCATGAGCTGCTCTCCATTTGGCTGACGTGGCTTGTTGCTTCCCTCACTCGTGTTTCTCCTCGTGTCTTATCTCCTGCGAGGATGGAGGGATGGTTTTCCATCATATGTGTAGAAATAGACTCAGCAGGACTCTTAATAATGACTGTGACGTCCGAGCTGTTTATTCTGACATGGAAAATAAATGAGTCCTTTGGCTTATGAGGAATAAATTAAGTTGCAAAGAATGTTTTCTTGATTCAGATTCCACACATGTAATTTTTCTTACTTTATGACTACATCTGAATAATTCAGCTAAAAAAATAGGAAAAACAGACAGACTGCTCTGTCCTTGGCTCCTCCTCCATCTTCAATGATGAATGTGGACTTCATGGATGAAAGAGGATGAAGGGAAGGATCTTTAGTAGAATGGTTCCCAGAGAAATCTTGGTGACCCCCCTGACGATTACTTTAATGCCACCATCAGGCCAAAACTTTTGTTTATACACAAGGAACACCAGATATCTGTGAAAGTTGCTGAGTATATTCATGCTCCACAGATGATGAACCCTTCAGTTTTTAATGACCTTTCCTCGTCACTATACTCGACGAACGTTACATTTTTAGACTCTTAAGATTCAGTATATCAACAGTATGTGGTTTAAAGGCTGTAGAGAAGTGTTTCCCAACATTTTTGACCCTTTTAATTGATTCAGAATTAACTCACGACCACTCAACAAAGCTTACAAAAACTCTGAGAGCCATTTTAACCATTTTTCAATGGCTGAAGAAGTGAAACTATCCAGTGTTTCACTTTGAGCAAAGATAAGAAAAAATGGCTAAGTAGAAAAGATTTTTTTTTCTTCTTTCTTATCGTCTCATGTTCACCTTCACGGCTCTTGAAGAGACTAGCCAGACATTTAATCTTATTTTCAGATCACATCAGGAACAACACTTGTCCTCTCTCTTTGTTCACTTTTGTTTATTTCATTCAACATACCACAGTCAGCAGTTATGGCCACAGTAAATATTAAACCCTGTTGAAAATCTAATCTTAAATCTAACCTTAATCACTGACGTTATCTAAATTATCCCAGTACTTTGGGACCATCTGGTACTAGGCAGATGCCCTGTCTGTCTAATGGAAAGAATCAGAAACAATCAGCAAAGTCATGCAAAACAAGACTTTTATTTATAAGAAAAAGTACCACATATGTGTAAAAACTCAATAGAAATTGCATAATCATGTTCATTTTCCAACAGTGAAAGGCTCATCTCGCTACACAGCACAGAGTTTCTGTATATTGTAAATACTGTACATCCAGAAATATTAGTTACCCAAATCAGTAAATTTGGCTAAAAAGCAGTTTTGGTTAATCTCATGCAAATGTACCAAAGAAACTTTAGCATAAATGCCAAAATCACATCAGGTCAATGGGACAAGAGTGAAACATTACATACATGATGAAAATCAAATACTAAACCAAGCCACAAGCTAACAGGACATTAACCTGATCATTCAGTCAAAAATATTAAAACCATGAGGCATCAGGAGCGAGACCAGTTGGACTGGGTTTGGTTGGGAATGAAAATTAACGTTAAAACCCAACATTGGGTAATTGATGCAGATGTTGGGTTTTGGTCACCAGAATGTCAGTATTTTACATTTACGTTAGATGGGACATTTGTTAACAGACATTTGTACACCTTAAAACCAGCAAAATATCAATGTCTGGTGTTGTCTGCAAATTAACCTCTGACATGGCTTTTGACTTTGGCTTTAGATGTTGATCTGACATTGCATTTCGGTCCGTGACATCACACCCTACATTGAACCAAATATCAACTTCCAACAACGTTCGTGGGCAGCTTTGTGCCTGCAGTGTAAAAGAGGGGGTATAGATACATTTTCTGACAACTCCATTTCCTATAAGCTTGTTTCACTTTCTCTCCCATTTTTATCCTCTCTTCCAGGTGCAGGTTGCTCCATCAAACCAGACATCAGCGAGTGTCCCAACGAGTGCAGTGATCAGGGTCGCTGTGTGGACGGCAAGTGCATCTGTTTCCCTGGATTCAGTGGACCAGACTGCAGTGAGTCCAACTGTCCCGGAAACTGCAACGACAACGGGAGGTGTGTGAACGGACAGTGTGTGTGCGATCCTGGATTCACCGGCCCGGACTGCTCCGACACGGCCTGTCCCAACAACTGCAACAATCATGGGCAGTGCGTTAATGGTAAATGTGTTTGTGACAGCGGATTCACTGGCACCGACTGCTCTGAGAAATCATGCCCAGGAAACTGCAACAACAAGGGGCGCTGTGTTAACGGACAGTGTGTCTGTAATCCAGGATTCACTGGACCAGATTGCTCTAAAAAAGCCTGTCCCGATAACTGCAACAACCGTGGACGGTGTGTTAACGGTAAATGTGTTTGCGACAGCGGTTTCACCGGCGCAGACTGCTCAGAGATCGCCTGTCCTGGAAACTGCAACAACAGGGGGCGCTGCATCAACGGGGAGTGCGTTTGCAATGATGGTTTTGGCGGCCCAGACTGCTCTGAGAGAACATGTCCTAGTGACTGCAACGACCGTGGAAAATGTGTCAACGGTCAGTGTGTTTGCGACAGCGGTTTCACCGGTGACGACTGCTCTGAAGACTCCTGCCCGGGAAACTGCAACAACAGAGGGCGCTGCGTTAACGGTCAGTGTGTTTGTGATGATGGGTTCACGGGTGCGGAGTGCTCTGAAAAATCCTGCCCCAACAACTGCAGCAACCGGGGGAAGTGTGTAAACGGGAAGTGTGTTTGCAATGTTGGCTTCGCCGGACCGGACTGCTCCGCCAAAGGCTGTCCTAATAACTGCAACAACAAAGGGCGGTGCGTCAAGGGGAGGTGTATTTGCCGGCGAGGGTTCACCGGACAGGACTGCAGTCAGTGTGAGGAAGGGATGACCGGACCCAACTGTGATACAGGTGAGTCAAACGCACCGAAATACAGAATCCTAAATTAAAAGTAGTCTTCAAAGAGACAGCCTTATTTACATTTAGTAACGTTATATCCAGTGCATTCTTGTTATCTCTTGTGATTGGATTTCAATATGCAAATTAATAATCAATTCATTATGCAAAGACAAAAAACAAACAAACAAAAACAATACAAAACAAAAAACAAATAAATGTATCTGGTAACATTTTATTATACCAGCAAATGGCCTGTACATTACCACAATGCTATTACTGTTGTCATGATTCATTCTCATTTGTGGTGTACCACATGGTTCGATTCTTGGTCCTGTTTTGCTGTTGTTGTTGTTGTTGTTGTTGTTGTATAAATACTTCTCCTTTGAACAGTTAATGAGTAGTTTTGTTAGAGACACTACTAATCTTTGGCTGGTTTGATCTCACACTTGATGAAAATGATCATTCATGCATTTATTTTGTCCATTCTGGACTAGTTTAACTCTCTGAAGTGTTTTCTGATCTGATGCCACTATTGATGAGACATAGTTTTTCAGTCCAAAAATAAAAACGGTTCTGATCTGACATCACTATGGTCAAAGACTAGTTAAGTTTAGGCACAAAAGAAAAACAAACGTGGTCAGAGAAAGGTCATGTTTTGGGCTGAAAAAATACTTTGTTGAGATTCGGGAATCGTGGATATGGCCAAGAAAGCAGCATTAACTGTCAGTTGGAAACTGGAAACGAACAGCGGCAGTTTTTGTTTTGTTTTGGGGTTTTTTTACCAACCCTCCATCCAACCTCCTCCCTTGGTGGACCTATTTCTCTAAAACAGCATCACACAACTTCCTCCTTTGTTCCCAATGGACAAAAGTACAAATTTATATGGCCACTAGGGGGTTTTATCACTTGTATGTGTACAGATGTTTTCATTGGGTATTTGCCGAAACAACTGCTCCTGTAATTTTTCATGAGTCTTTTCTTTGCCCAGAATACTTGTGCGTTACTATTGATCAGGTCGTCTGAAAGTTCTCTTGTGTCTGGATTTATTCTGTTTACTCCACATCAAATTCAGGTTTCAATTCAAGATTCTTATGATCACTTTTGACATTATTATCTGGTGGTATATATGTTAAGTCACTGTGGTCCTGTATTAAGGACTTCCTGGACCTTGCTCCTGGCCTAAAGTTGTTTTTGATCTGGGTTTTAGCTTTTAAACATAACTTACAATGTTACTCGGGTCCCACCTGTTCGGTCTTCCCTTTGCTTAGTTGTTTTGCTTCCTTATATTTCATCTGTATTTTATATCTGTTGCTTTTACTTTGTGCTGTATTTTGTTTTGTATTTTTCCCCTTGATAACATCTGCTGCATCATTAGAGGCTTCAGGGGAACAAATCACACATTTCCTCTACAGTGGCCATGTTTGAATATCCCTCTTCATCCAGCGTCACATTGGCTTTTGTTTTTCCTCATGTGTGTTGGTGATTTATAATCTCAGGGCGAACACTTTACATGTTTGGTATGTTTACATATCCCAGATGCTTTGCTTTGGTGTAATATCTTCTCACATAATGACTTAATGGATCGACCACACAAGAGAAGACAGTTTGTCATTTCTGGGAAGTCTAGTTGATGAATGTGCTTTGAACTGCTGTAAACTTTTTTTGAGGTTTGATCAAACTGTGTTTGTCATGATTCATTCAACAACTGCAATTTAATCTCGGTTACCTCATCTTTTTTTTTTCAAATTCTGCTCATAATTGTTGTTCAACACATCAGTATCTGCAGCATCAGTCATGCTGCTTACCACCTCCAACTCTGTTTTCTCGTTGTTGTTGTTGTTGTTGTTGTTGTCACTGTTGCTGCTAGGCAACGTTAGTGTATTTGCTCGTGTGTTTGGAGCTGGTTCAAGCTGCAGTGATTCCGGTGACGGAACTGTTTCATTAGCAGAGCAGCAGGATCCAGACCTGCTTCCCATAAAACTCCCTCAGGCTGCTCGGTAATGGCTTTCTGTGACGGAGGACAGACACCTGTGTGTGTCAGTGTGTGTGTGTGTGTGTGTGTGCGTGCGTGCGTGCGTGCCTGCCTGCCTGCCTGCCTGCCTGCCTGCCTGCGTGCGTGCGTGTGAGTGAGTGTGTGTTAAGTGTTTTCCCAAATGTAACTGACCTGTGATTGGAGTCGAGGGGGGGTTGTCCCAAAACTGAAGTCCCATATGAGAAGGAGAGAGAAGTTAATGGTCAGCAGTGACTGTTAAGTTCGTTTCCATCCACCTGTTTTTGTGCACATTTGGAATTTATGCAAAAACAACTCAATGGAGACACCAGAAATAAAAAAGATATTGCAAAAAAAAGGTATTGCTTGGTGAAAAGGTCGACAAATTGAAAATGACGTAAAAAATAAACCGGATGAAAACCGTTTTTTTTTTTTGTTAAAATATTGACTCCACCTTAGCCTCTCCTTCGTCTTCTCTTTAATCAGGTAATCTCATTGGTTTATTTTGTAAGAGAGGCCTGAGATAAGACACACAACAAACACATGTAGACAGCATCAGAAATCATCCCACACATCATTAACAATGTAACCATGTCCCAAATTAAAAGCTTAAATCTATCCAATGTGATGAGACTTTTCCTTTTAATGTCTTTTGGTCATGTCATTTATATGATGCAAAGTACTGAAAGTTGGTCAGTGAAATCTGGTCAGTAGACAAAGCAAGATTTCATTCAAAGTCTCTAATCATCCACTTCCCGCTCAGAATAGTATTTTTCTTTTTTTGTTGTTATTTAGATTTTTCTTATTTTATCTTCGAGTGGTTAATTATGTTTCTGTAAATAAAGATGCAAAGGACTAAATACTGTTAACAAAACAATGCCAAGACTAAAATTCTAGTGGGGAAATAGTAAAGCCAGTATTGATTCATTTAGTTAGCTAGTTAGTTATCTTAAAAAGTAGTCAAATGTAACTCTGGTAACACTAACAAAATGGAAACTCTTATTGTTATCTACAACCTCTAACTTTTAGTTATACTAGCAGTGTGGCTTTATAGGGATTGCAGTGTCAGTCAGTTGGTCACTTGTTCCACCATTTGTTTAGTCTGAAGTATCTTCATTCATGATCCCCAGAGGATGAATCCGGCTGAAATTTTTTCCTGGATTTCACAGGATACGTGAAAAAATTCAGCAATTCAGAGAAAAAAAATTGTGGATGTAGTGCATGGCATTTGGTGCAACATTTATCTTCCGCCGTCATCAGGTCAAAATTTCAGTTTGCCAAATATCTGCAAAACTAATGATGTTCAGCCTCAACTGCTTACTACTTACTAAGCTAAACTAAGATGGAGAACATGGTAAACCCACAGACCTGCTAGCATGGATGCAGACTCTTAGTCTTGTTAGCCTCAACTGCTAAAATTCCTGTCAATGCAGTCGACCTCGTCTCCTGCTCCCCCAAAAAACCAAACACTAAACACAGAAAGTCGTGAAAAAGCGATTTCATGTGGGAAGCAGCAATAGTACGTTTTATTTAGCCAAAGTTGAAGAGAAGGATGCTTCATGGGAAATATCCTGACTTTAATTCCTATCAGATTTGAGCAACGTTTTATATTTAAAAATTCTAAATGCATGTGTGAGCTTGTTTGGTAGCCTCCCACATGGTTACCATGTCTCTGTTTCTTTCACAGTTCACTGTGTATGTGAGGTGCTTGTTGGATTTGCTGTAATTACTTACGGTAACGTTACGTCAGTCTGTCTGTCAGTGACCCACTCTGCAGTTAATTTTTCAGCTCTAATTTTATGAGAAACTGGTGCAGTAAAACAAATCTGTGAATTATTATCGACTGAACCTTCACCCCTCAGTGTGTGCAGTCATACATCAGCGGTGAGGCTCTGCCAGGCTGACGGCTTTGTGTTGGCAGCATCACAGTGTGCCAGGTGTTTCTGCATGAGACTGTGGCACAATGAACTACAGTTTATGTGAAAGAGTGACCCACTGTTTATATAATGTAGATAGAACATGACAGGTGGTCTGAATGAGTCTTACAGTGAAAAAGTATTATAGAAACCTCATGAATCTGTGTGATAAACTCAGTCTCTAATGCCAGGAGCACACTGTGTGTGTGTGTGTGTGTGTGTGTGTGTGTGTGTGTGTGTGTGTGTGTGTGTGTGTGTGTGTGTGTGTGTGTGTGTGTCTGCTGCGTCGCTGCTACTTCCAGCTCTATCTTTCTACACAGAGTTCACAGGTTACTCGAATGTTGGATTTCTTTTCATTATAAATTAATGTCTGATTCATTTTGACAGAATATGTCTCTATAATGTCTCCATAATAGTTAAAAAATATAATTACATTTTTCATGTCTGTATCATATTCAGATTCAGCCTAGACATGGACAACTATAGTGGAAGGAGTCAGTTTTATGTAACATTGCTGATATAATGTCAATATGACATCAGCAGGTCTTTTCTCTGTCTGTTTTTGCTGGGACACGCATGTCACGGGTGAAAATAAAAAAGCACAACACAGCCGCGAGGCAGTGCTCTAAGCCGTTAACATGGGCACCAAAATGAAAACCGTTCTGCAGCCGATACACACACCCACCAGTGTGTTTCCAGCCTAACTCCTGCACCTTTAAGAATTGATTTACTGATCTGCAGGTCAAGTCAAGTTAAGTTTATTTATATAGCACATTTAAACACAGCTTGAGCTGACCAAAGTGCTGTACAAAGAGGAATAAATAAGTGCAACAAATACATATACAATACATAAGAGACATATACGTATAATAACAAACAAGGAGACAGCAAAAAGTAAGCGCTCAATATGAGCATGACAATGGACTAGGAGGGTAGTGAGCTAAAAGGGCAGTGATTAAAAAAGGTCTTAAACCTCTTTAACCCCTATTTAAAAATGAAGATGGAAGAAGCACATCTGATGTCCGGTGGCAGGAGTTTCTATAGTCTTGGAGCTGCAACTGCCAAAGCTCTGTCACCTTTTAGTTTTAGGTGAGCTCGTGGGACATGTAAAAGTGATGAACTTTGAGATCTGAGAGATCTAGGAGCTGAGTGCCAGTGGATGAGATGTGAGATGTAAGGTGGGGCGTGGCCATCGAGAGCCTTAAAGGTAATCAGCAGGGTTAATGCTTGGCAAAATTTGGTTTAATTTTTAAATGTAAAAAAATACTGTTTCAACAGCATTGCGAAGAGTTGTATTTAACAGCTGCTTCACATTGAGGTATAGCAGTTAAATGCAGTTGAAAAACAAATATGCAGTACATAAGAAAGACATAACTTATATTACTCATATTTCAAAATTAGTATTATCTCTCTTTTTTCTCTGTTTTTGGTCTCCACCAGCTCCTGAAGGAAATATATCCAGTTATTTGAAATCTGTTCTATTCTTGCCTTTTTGTGGCCCTCAAAGATGTTCAGCTGCCTTTCCCAGGCCCCTGTGGCTCCCAAATCAAGAACCTGGATACAACTCTTAACGACAAAACCACCCGGCACAGTCTGAACTGTATCATTTTCAAACCGCAGATCAGATCACAACAGGTTGTTTTATTGATGTGGTGCCGGTGAGCAGACAGTTTAAGCTGTGATGGAGCCAAATGCTGATACTTATATATCAGTCTGTTCTGGTAAGATAGAAGACTCAGCTGGATCGTTTCAAAGAGGAAAGACTTTCAGCTGCTGCACAAATGGACGCCCGCTGGTTCATTTGTTCCACTGAATCAGTTATCATCAGTCATGAGAAGAGAGAAAAAACCTTTCTTGGTTGGAGATCTGGTTGTTGGAGCTTCAGATATGTCTTAATTTATATATCTGATATAGCATCTGAATGCTGTGATGCTGTTTGGTGCTACAGAGAGAGAGCAATTCCGACTAGTGGGCAAATACAGAGTTGAGCATTAAGACTGTTGTGTTTTGGTGAAAAAAGAAATCTGTGTCTTTTCTGTCACACTTCGTTCTTGGAAGTCATTCTTCACAATGGGATGAGAGAGAGATGTGCAGGTAGAACCAAAAACCAAATGTCTTATCATGTGTCTTCGCTAGAAAGAGAATCAGATTTCATCATCACAGCAGCATCATGAGGCAGAAGCAAAATATCTACAATCAACATTCACACACTCATCTGTGCAAACCAGAATATACAATATTATATCTGTCTATTATTCAGAATAGATGTGACTGATTTCTAAACATATTTTTTGAAAACATCTGGGGATCAGTTTAAATTCAGATTTTAGGAGTTGATGAGTGAATGTTGCTAAATGTACGGAAATAATTAAATAACCGAAATAACCATAAATAAACTGAACAATCCTAATCCTAATGGTAGATATATATAGTATGTACCAGGGTATCTGCTGCATGAATACGTTTTACACCTATTTTGACAGTGATGTAAATTAATGGGCAAGACTGCTGTGTGGCAATATTGGATTTTTATTAGATGTTTACATTAATTTTTCAGGTATATAATTCACTGGTTAAACCAGAAACATCAGATTTTATCTTTATACTGTTTCTGTTAACGTACTATGATATGCTTCAATGGCACGTTATAGAATTACACATTATAGAAGAATTTATCCATCATCCATCATAACTGCTGTTCTGAGTACAGCTGCTGGTCTCTCAACAACACACACTGAAGAATATGGGTCAAAGGGAAATGGGAATATTAAAAACATAACATCTCCTATGAGCGACTCATGAAGACATGTTAAAGTTATGTCTTGTGTCTCTCTCTCTCTCTTCTGTACAGTGATGTCAGGTGTTCCCCAGCTCAGCACTCGGGACATCACAGAGACGTCTGTCACTCTGGTCTGGACTCCACCTGCTGTGCAGTATGAGACCTACCACATCACCTTCACCAGCCAGGTACACCAGATGTTGCTCAGATGTAGATTTGGAATTTACTCTGTCAATCACTTGGTCTTTGTCCTTTCGTATCTCTACATTAATTTAGTGGTTTCATAGAGCAACAATAAAAACAGACATTGTAAAAGAAGAAAACAATTTTCTTACCAGAGAAAACAGCCCTGGAGGAGGATGATTTTTTTTTTTTCAACTGTATAAACAAAAAAATAGAAGAAAAAAAAAAGTTAGAAAAACATTTTCTCCAAAGAAAATGTTTTTCCGAGTTTTTGTTTTTTTCATCTGTTTTTATTATTTTTGTTCTCACAAAAAATAATCACTTGACTCTCAGGGCTTGTTCTCACAGATGAAAAAAACAAAAACTAGAAAAATGATCCTGGCAAATAAATAAATAGATAAATTCACTTGCCTTTCAGGGCTTCCATATGTTTGAGACAGGCAGCCAGATAAACAGATAAACACACACAAATGTTACTTAAAATGATTGAGATAGCAGATGTTTTTGTCGACAGTCATGATCCAGCAACAAAACCACTACAAATTAGTTCTCATAGAGTCCTCGCTGTCCCCTCGTTCAGGACTCTGAGAGCTGCCCAGGGGGTCAAATCCTCCGCCAGTTCATGTTGAGAGGACGGAGGAGAATGCAGGACAGAAACTGTGCCTGAAATTTACACAAGGTCCTCAGGGAGTTTTAAAAATGGTGATGGGGCCTCCAGACCGGACCATAAAAGTGTTGTGCATCAATTTAAACAACCTCCACTGTCCAAGATAATCAAATACATAACACTGTGACCTTTGAACTTAAGATAGTAAGTTTGTTTTCAGATTAAAGCTCTGTGCATGAGGCTGCAAGAAAAGGACAAACCTTTTTGTTGGGGGGGGGGGGGGGCTGTGTGTGTAGATCATGTTGAAAAGACATTTCAGAGTATCTTTTCCATGGCAACAAGACGTACAGCTGTTTCCACCAACTCCTGAAAAGATGACAAACAGTAAATTTAACAAGGATTCAGAGAGTTCAGCAGCTCCAGGAATCATTTCCACCGCAAACACTGATAAAAAAATATCCAGTGAAATTTCCTTTAAAAAAAACCCCAAAAGGATTTAGAGCACAGATGGTCTCCAGTAAATCAACTCATGATTCTTATAGTTGTTTTATGCCAGAACTTAACACTAGTCACACTGAAGAGCATCACTTTATTTTAAAGCTATAAAAAATGTGAAAAAATAGGATTTGGCATAGAGGAAGCATAAAATAAAGTCTGACCGGATATTAAAAGTATTGAGAGAGAGTTGAAATTGGTTCAACAGCTAAACAAAAGTTTAACAATACACTGACCAGCACCTCTAATGCTCAGAAATCAACATCTCTCATTTATGTATAGGAGCTTTACCTAAGTTTTGCTATGGTTACGTAGCAAACATTAGCATTAACAGCTGTTTACTCACCAGTCTAGAAGAAACGTTGGAAGTTCAGCATCAAACTTTATTCCTTTACTCACCAAGAGCTGTCTCCAGAGGTGGAAACAACCGGTTTCGATTTCTATCATTTATTTTCTTCTTCTGAAGTTGTTTTCAAGCATGCTTACCAGCCAGCTTCGCTTCAGTTGGCCCATCTCATCACTTTCTGATACCGAGTCACTGTAGCATCCAGGCTGCCCTGAATAAGCACCTCTAATGTCATTAGATCATTAAATCATTCCTTTACTCACCCAGAGCTGTCTCCAGAGGTGGAAAGTAACCCTCTTGTTTTGCTTCTTTTCTTCTACTAAAGTTCTGTCCAAACGTAAAAAATAAAGCCGCCACCACCTCTACAGCTCAATGTTTAATGTGTTATATCTTGTTTATTAAACCCACACACAGACTGAAGTATAAAAAATGACAGTTTGTGGTTTCAATGGGAGTTTCTGAGCTAACACACAGACTGAGATCCATCTGAACATCTCACTCTCATACAGAAAGCAAATCTCAAAAGCGCTGAACTATTTCATTAAGAGTTTACTGTAATCTATCCACCCTGAACAGTTTCAGTTTTATTAGATTCTTTTCGCTCTTAATTTGTTTCCCTGCAGACTGTGAAAGTCTCATTAAGGTCTAACTTTTTTTCAGATACTTTCCATCTTAAAAATGAACCATGGCCTAAACTAAACTTCAGAAGCCTTCCTGCACAAACAGCTTCTTCATAAGAGATAGTTTAAGAATGTGGTCTTAAGTTTTCCTCATGTCTTTGAAGATGGCGTATGCAAACATGATGTTACTGACGGATTTAGGTTTTTTTATTTTGTGGGAAAAAATCACTGCCGCAGGTTAAATAGAAACCGAACAGTTTGTCATTTCCATGACAGACTCTAGAAAAAATGATCTGTGATATTGGCTTAAAGCCCCAGAGGAGATCTCTGGATGCCATAAACAGTAAATTACAGCAGCAGTTTTATGACGTTACAGTTCACTGACTCTGTGCATTGGACGCTGGTTTAAGTGCAAATTTCATGTTTCCATGACTGAAGCTGCAGCTAACGGTCTCAGACATACTGTTTTTGAAAAATTAAGAGTAAAGTAAACACAGATATATGAAGGATAAGTGTAGATTTGTTATTTTAACCACAGTCTCTGTCATCTGACAAAATCTGAGCCTGGAACAACTAATTTTGAGACATTTGAAAGCTGCAAAACATCAACCATTAAAGAAATCTTAGGATTTAGGTTCAGTGTTTTCAGATTTAAGCAACTGAAAAATAATCCTTTTAAAAACCACAAATGACTTGAGGTAGGATGAATCACCCAAAGATTAAATCATTTCTGTTACAAATCCAAATAAAATAGTTAGTAAAAAGTCCCGAAGATTATTGAAAATTATGCAGATGACATCTAATAAATCAACGAGAATCCTGAGCCATGTTGGGAGGGCAAAGATCTGTTGTCCAACAAAGATTCTCACCAAATTTTATTTCCATGACAAACACTATAAAAATCTGACGTTAAATTCACAGTAATCCCCGCGGAGTCTCAGGATGGCAACAACAGATCCTGCTCCTCCGTGGAAAAGAATATCAACCTCTTTTTTTGGCAACGGTTGGATAAAAATGCCAAGTCTAATCTCGTCTGACTAACTGTTCCTACCCTGACATCATCCTGTATGTGTGTGTGTGTGTGTGTGTGTGTGTGTGTGGTTTAGATTCCCTTCGTTATCTAAACCAAGACTTAATTACTCAGCAGCTCCAGAGGTTTTTCCTCTGCTCTGTTAAAGAGCGTCAAATGGAGTAGATTATGAACAAAAACTTAAAGGTCCATATTGTATAAAAGTAGATTTCCATGTTTTTATATTATTATGATTATTATTATTATTATTATATTATGATTATACAGCAGGTCTAGGTTCTATATTAATACTGTGAAGCACTCAGTCCAGAGAAATGTACACAGTCTGTATTCAGAAACTGAGCATTAAAACAAGCCGTCAGGACTTCCTTAACTTTGTGATGTCACAACAAAACAGTCACTGTCCTCAGCCATGCCCCAAGCCCCGCCCACCTGGACCCACCATCCAACCTTGCAGGATTTGGTTTCTCTGAGTCTTTAACTGAAATCTGCTATATTTTTATTAGATCACTCACAAAACAGTCAGCCAATCAGAAGAGAGGCTCTTTTCTGATTGGCTCACCGACCTGTTGTTACTAGAGCTCCAGAGAGAAGCCCGAGAGAGGAGATGTAAAACTACATTGAGATGGTTTTTGGTCTTAAAACCACAAATATATCTTCTTAGTCTAAAGTGTAAAATATGGGACCTTTAATTCAAACTTAGTTCAAGTCCAGTGACGAACCTCAAATGATACAGAGGTAAGTGTTAAACTACCTGAGGTTAAAAAGTTTAGGTCACCAAAAATGTGAAGACACAGGTGAACTTCCAGCTTTTCTGCAGCAATGGGAGTAAATGAAGCCTTGAAAGTTGATGCAAACAATTCCTCAGGGCTAATTAATTACAAACCCTGTGTGCATAATTAGGAAAATACTATAAGAAGTACGAGTGTGAACTGCTGTTAGAATAGTGAGGAAAAGACCAGTAACAAAGAAAGACAGACTGTCTCCAGACTTCAACCCCATGGAGCTGGTCTGGGATGAACTGAACTAAATGAAGCAAAGAAACCTGCAAGTGACACACATCTGTGGGGACTTCTGCAACAGTGTTTGAACCAACTTTTTGAACAATGTGCGATTTCCATTGTAGAAAAAAGTTCAGGAGTGAGTTCAGCTGCTGGAGGAGTCAAACATTTAGATTAAATTTACTTTAACAATAAGATTCAATGAGTGTTTGTTTTTAAGTCTCCTGTTGTTTATTTGTTTTATGCTTTAATTTCACATTGAGACATTAAGCAATGTACATTTCACAACTTGAAATGGAGGTAGGCTACTCTAAAACATTTGACCGGCCGTATGCGTACAACAAAACATAGTCCAGTTCTTTTAAAGAAAGTGCAACTTGCTGAAAATAATCAAACCCATAGCCAACGCTGTGTCTTTTATCCACGAGAATCTAAACCACGTGTTTATTATTGTAACCGTGACGATGGTCCTCTAACCTGAAACCATTTATTTTAACACAAACCACAATCTTTTTCTGAACCTAACCAACCAAACTGTGACCATTCCTCAGCCTTAACCACATGTTTATTATCGTTACCGTGGTGACGAAGCCTCAGTGCGCCTGCTGCTGCTGTACTCTTGTGGGTCATGTCCGAGGGTAGGGACAACGGACCAGGGTTGGAGGACTCGTATATATTGCAGGCGATCACCATATTTGTGACTTTTGTAAATCATTTAAATGCAACATCTTGTATTTCCAAGAAACAGGTTTTCAGATATTTTGACCTAAAATATGGAAATATGCTGAAAATGTACATATACATAATAACAATATAATATATAATAACATTTTAAATTAAGCACTTTCCGACAGGTAGATGTAAAAAAAACAAAAAACATTTAGTTTAGGTTATAGGTGGACTGTT